GATATTTAATATCATTAATCCAATTCGTGGTGCTGTTCTAGAGAATTAATGAAGTAATTTCATGAAGAAATTCCGTACTGATTACTTGTTGTACAAATGCTTATGATAAACGAATCCTTCTAGACAACTGGAAATGACATCTTGAGGTCATTAATCCATTTGAGAGTAATGTTCCTTAGAATATATGAAGTAATTTCATAAAGAAATTCCGTACTAATTACTTGTTGTACAAACGCTTATGATAAACGAATGCTTCTAAACAACTGAGAATGACATTTTAATATCATTAATCCAATTCGTGGCGCTGTTCTAGAGAATTAGTGAAGTAATTTCTAGAGAATAAATGAAGTAATTTCATGAAGAAATTCCGTATTAATTACTTGTTCTACAAACGCTTATGATAAACGAATCCTTCAAGACAACTGAGAATGATATTTAATATCATTAATCCAATTCGTGGTGCTGTTCTAGAGAATTAATGAAGTAATTTCATGAAGAAATTCCGTACTGATTACTTGTTGTACAAATGCTTATGATAAACGAATCCTTCTAGACAACTGGAAATGACATCTTGAGGTCATTAATCCATTTGAGAGTAATGTTCCTTAGAATATATGAAGTAATTTCATAAAGAAATTCCGTACTAATTACTTGTTGTACAAACGCTTATGATAAACGAATGCTTCTAGACAACTGAGAATGACATTTTAATATCATTAATCCAATTCGTGGCGCTGTTCTAGAGAATTAGTGAAGTAATTTCTAGAGAATAAATGAAGTAATTTCATGAAGAAATTCCGTATTAATTACTTGTTCTACAAACGCTTATGATAAACGAATCCTTCAAGACAACTGAGAATGATATTTAATATCATTAATCCAATTCGTGGTGCTGTTCTAGAGAATTAATGAAGTAATTTCATGAAGAAATTCCGTACTGATTACTTGTTGTACAAATGCTTATGATAAACGAATCCTTCTAGACAACTGGAAATGACATCTTGAGGTCATTAATCCATTTGAGAGTAATGTTCCTTAGAATATATGAAGTAATTTCATAAAGAAATTCCGTACTAATTACTTGTTGTACAAACGCTTATGATAAACGAATGCTTCTAAACAACTGAGAATGACATTTTAATATCATTAATCCAATTCGTGGCGCTGTTCTAGAGAATTAGTGAAGCAATTTCATGAAGAAATTTCGTACTGATTACTTGTTCTACAAACGCTTATGATAAACGAATCCTTCAAGACAACTGAGAATGACATTTTAATATCATTAATCCAGTTCTTGGTGCTGTTCTAGGGAATTGATGAAGTAATTTCATGAAGAAATTCCGTATTAATTACTTGTTCTACAAACGCTTATGATAAACGAATCCTTCTAGACAACTGGGAATGATATCTTGAGGTCATTAATCCATTTGATAGTAATTTTGCTTAGAATATATGAAGTCATTTCATAAAGAAATTCCGTACTGAT